CAATAAACCACCAGAAAACCGGAAGTGGCGCTGTAGCTCAAGTGATAGAGCACTCGCCTTGAGCTGAAGAGCTGAAGGACAGCGCCCAGGCCCAGAGTTCAAGCCCCACGGCCGACCAAAAAAAAAAAAAAAGATTTAATCTAAATTTAACAATAGTCATGCCATATACAAATATGAAATACAATCATTAAGATCAAATGACCTAAGATTTGTACTCAACATTTGGGAAATGGCTACTTCAGTAACAAATAATTAGTTGGAAGCACTAACAAATCACCACTGTCAACCATCAAACTAAAACTTGCTTAAACCATTAACCTCCAGGGCTGGGAAGGTGGCTCAGTATAGAGTGCTTGCCTTGTATGCATGAGGCCCTGGGTTCGACTCCTCAGCACCACATAAGCAGAAAAAGCTGCAAGTGGTGCTGTGGCTCAAGTGGTAGAGCACTAGCCTTGAGCTGAAGAGCTGAGGGACAGCGCCCAGGCCCAGAGTTCAGGCCCCACGACTGGTTAAAAAAAAAAAAATCATGAACCTCCAGATTATTCTAGAAGTGGGAAACATTTTTTCTGACAAGTGCCATTTGGGCACTCATATCATCAATACAGCCTACACAATATTATCAACATAGGCAGGGAGCCTGGTTAGTATAAGAAATGAGAGGTGAGCAAGAATGATCAATATGAGCTCAAGGCTTTATTGGGACGGCAGACCTGCCAGGCTGCTCCAAGCAGGGAATGGAGGCAGCAGCCATGAACAGGTATGGGCAAAATTTAAACAAAGTTTTAGGGGGCATTCACATGGGTCACATTACATGGACTACAGGAATTCAGGGAAATGTCACATTCTGAGGAGTGTAATGAGACTTGCAACTGGGATGGGAATTCGTGTATCACACTGGGAAAACAGTACGGCATCTGGGAAACAGAAACTTAACAGATGTTTGTAAACAGGTAGGGACACAGGGCAGGGACTTAATCGGCAAGTTGACTCTGTGACCTTAGAGTCAGCAGATGAGAAACTTATCTGCCCATCATGTACCAAATGATTTGTAGGCCTTCTTACCTGCTTTAGAACAGTTATAATCTTATGCAGGACTGGCAGCCTGTGACAGACAGGCCTAGCAGGTAAAAAATGAACAGCACAGGTCAAAGGACAACAGATCTGACCAGATGGCAAATGGCTTCAAGATAGACCATATGGAATGTAGTCTCTGTGACAAAATGAG